ACAACAGCTCAGAAAAAAACATTTGCATTAACATTTAATAGTCAGAACTACAGCTTKGTTTTATGCTAACTTAATAAGGTCATACTTACTGATCTTTGACAAAAGTGAAACYTTAGTTATAGTTTATTTCAGTTCTATGTTTTTAGGGCTATAATAAATGCAAAAAACCAGATCAGGTTTTAAAATGAAGTAACAATAACAAAAGTGGAAGTTAAAATGCAGAAACCATGAGTGGGAAAATAATCTATGATTAAAGAGCTTGTAGAACTATGTTCAGCAGCAGTACTACTTAGTAATTTGGTATTATCTGGTATTGGCATTATACAATATTTATTGATCCTTTGGACTGAGGAGATTAAGGGGGTTAAAATTAGGGACACTKAGCACAAAATAGGACTRTTYGCTGATGACATTTTAATTTACTTAAAACAACCTGATACAGGTTTACCAAAACTTATGAACCTTTTAGAATTATATGGTCACCTGTCAGGATATAAATTAACCATTGGGAAAACTCAGATCCTGTCACTAAATTGTACCCCAACTACAGAAATAATCCAACAATACAAATTTAAATGGAGCAAAAAAATCAATTGTTTACTTAGGAATAACAATTACAAACAACCAAGAGAAACGATATGCAGCTAACTACGAATATCTTTGAAGATTTATGACAATATGAATAAGTGGGATGTCTTGATGTTGGATCGAAATGCTAGAATTGATATAATTAAGATGAAAATACTGCCTAGAATTTTATATTTGTTTCAGTCCCTCCCAGTGACTATAGCTTCTTCACAATTTATAGAGTGGGATAAAAAATTAGCAAGATTTATTTGGAATGGGGGTAAAGCAAGAATTAGAAATTCAACACTCCAAAGACCCAAAAAAGGAGGGAGTTCTGGCACTGCCAAACCTCCAAAATTAATATTATGCTGCACAACTGAAGGCATTTATGAACTGGTGTACCACAAACTATACAGCAAAATGGAAGGAAGGTGCCTGCGTGTGTGTGTGTGTGTGTGTGTGCCTGCGTGTGTGTGTGTGTGTGTGTGTGC